AACTATAAAATCGACGTCTTGTCACACAGATGTATTTCACACTCTGAGCGATTAACATACACTCAAAACTAAATAATATAAATTTGGTAAGTGAACTATAAACAAGTAGCAGTGCCGTGATCAGGAGTACTCGACTAGCAGATACCCTAAGCTCAGCGCACAGCTGCTATTTATGTGAGATGTTGCGTTCATGCAGACAAATGAACAACCAAACATAGATATATCGAATCAACTCGTCATTCTGATCAAGAATCTATATACTTAAAAGACTCTGCTACGATTCCTTCTACCTGTTACATAAATGTTCATAAAATCGATTTACCCTCACTCTCTATTTTCAAAGTTTTCAGGGCAAACTAATACATATGCATATATATGTAAAATAGAAGGCGTGGCCTCAGCTTTGGCTGAACTTGTCTCTAGGAAATGTGGAAATAGTGGCAGTATTTATTCTAGCTACCTATTCCTATTTCAGTGTCATGTTAATATATTTTTATAGATTTCTTATCAAATTGTATAAATTTTCTTTTTTTTTTAATTTTTATATATTTATAGAATACAACATTTAAACAAGAATTTCAATTTAAAAATAATTTAATTTAATTTATAACTATGACAACTTAGGTATTCAAGATTTCAATTCAATTTAAAAACAGTCTAAAAGTCTTTAATGTCGTCTCAAGTTATTATGCGTTCTCATTTTAGTGAATAAACACTTTGTTTTGATAGTATTGTGTATGTCTATAATAAATATTATAATATACATATATAATACACATAATATTATTATATATATATGTACAAATATATTTGAATATTCATTTCTCATACACTGAAAATCGAAAATCAAGGAAGTTATAATGGGCTTGTTAAAATGTATTTAACAGACAGAAGGAGGCGTGGCTGACCTCATAAGGTATATACATATTTGATTACGACGACGACTTGAGATAATTTCGCAGAGTCTGTCTGTCCGTCTGTCTGTTCGTTCGCAGTGATCTCAGTAGCGAAGTACCAGGCCAGAAGAAATGATACGTAGCGTAAACAA